CTCTCTCTCTCTCTCTCTCTCTCTCTCTCTCTCTCTCTCTCTCTCTCTCTCTCTCTCTCTCTCTCTCTCTCTCTCTCTCTCTCTCTCTCTCTCTCTCTCTCTCTCTCTCTCTCTCTCTCTCTCTCTCTCTCTCTCTCTCTCTCTCACTGTAGCCAGCTATCTAGACTCATGCTGTTTAGCGGAGGCTCATGACCTTCCCTGGAGGCCCTCCCACGGTGGGAATAGCTTCATACACAGCTAGACATAGACAGCCAGACATACACATCCAAAATTTACACAGACAAACATGTACATACAAACATACACAACCAAACATACACAACCAAACATACACAGCCAAACATACACAGCCAAACATACACAACCAAACATACACAACCAAACATACACAACCAAACATACACAACCAAACATACACAACCAAACATACACAACCAAACATACACAGCCAAACATACACAACCAAACATACACACACAACATACACAAACATACACAACCACAACATACACAACCAAACATACACAGCCAAACATACACAACCAAACATACATACACAACCAAACATACACAACCAAACATACACAACCAAACATACACAACCAAACATACACAACCAAACATACACAACCAAACATACACAACCAAACATACACAACCAAACATACACAACCAAACATACACAACCAAACATACACAACCAAACATACACAACCAAACATACACAACCAAACATACACAACCAAACATACACAACCAAACATACACAGCCCAAACATACACAACCAAACATACACAACCAAACATACACAGCCAAACATACACACAAACATACACAGCCAACATACACAGCCAACACACACAGCCAAACATACACAGCCAAACATACACAGCCAAACATACACAACAACCAAACATACACAGCCAAACATACACAGCCAAACATACACAGCCAAACATACACAGCCAAACATACACAACCAAACATACACAACCAAACATACACAGCCAAACATACACAGCACAAACATACACAGCCAAACATACACAACCAAACATACACAACCAAACATACACAGCCAAACATACACAGCCAAACATACACAGCCAAACATACACAACCAAACATACACAGCCAAACATACACAGCACAAACATACACAACCAAACATACACAGCCAAACATACACAGCCAAACATACACAGCACAAACATACACAACCAAACATACACAGCCAAACATACACAAACATACATACACAGCCAAACATACACAGCCAAACATACACAGCCAAACATACACACCAAACATAGCCAAACATACACAGCCAAACATACACAGCCAAACATACACAGCCAAACATACACAACCAAACATACACAGCCAAACATACACAACCAAACATACACAGCCAAACATACACAGCCAAACATACACAGCCAAACATACACAGCCAACATACACAGCCAAACATACAAACATACACAGCCAAACATACACAACCAAACATACACAGCCAAACATACACAGCCAAACATACACAGCCAAACATACACAGCCAAACATACACAACCAAACATACACAGCCAAACATACACAACCAAACATACACAGCCAAACATACACAGCCAAACATACACAGCCAAAAACATACACAGCCAAACATACACAGCCAAACATACACAGCCAAACATACACAGCCAAACATACACAACCAAACATACACAGCCAAACATACACAGCCAAACATACACAACCAAACATACACAGCCAAACATACACACAAACATACACAGCCAAACATACACAGCCAAACATACACAACCAAACATACACAGCCAAACATACACAACCAAACATACACAGCCAAACATACACAGCCAAACATACACACAGCCAAACATACACAACCAAACATACACAGCCAAACATACACAACCAAACATACACAGCCAAACATACACAGCCAAACATACACAGCCAAACATACACAGCCAAACATACACAGCCAAACATACACAGCCAAACATACACAGCCAAACATACACAACCAAACATACACAGCCAAACATACACAACCAAACATACACAGCACAAACATACACAGCCAAACATACACCAAACATACACAGCCAAACATACACAGCCAAACATACACAGCCAAACATACACAGCCAAACATACACAGCCAAACATACACAGCCAAACATACACAACCAAACATACACAGCCAAACATACACAGCCAAACATACACAGCCAAACATACACAACCCATACACAGCCAAACATACACAGCCAAACATACACAACCCAACATACACCAAACATACACAGCCAAACATACACAGCCAAACATACACAACCAAACATACACAGCCAAACATACACAACCAAACATACACAACCAAACATACACAGCCAAACATACACAACCAAACATACACAGCCAAACATACACAGCCAAACATACACAACCAAACATACACAGCCAAACATACACAGCCAAACATACACAGCCAAACATACACAGCCAAACATACACAGCCAAACATACACAGCCAAACATACACAGCCAAACATACACAGCCAAACATACACAGCCAAACATACACAGCCAAACATACACAGCCAAACATACACAGCCAAACATACACAGCCAAACATACAAACATACCAAACATACACAGCCAAACATACACAGCCAAACATACACAGCCAAACATACACAGCCAAACATACACAGCCAAACATACACAGCCAAACATACACAACCAAACATACACACAGCCAAACATACACAGCCAAACATACACAGCCAAACATACACAACCAAACATACACAGCCAAACATACACAGCCAAACATACACAGCCAAACATACACAGCCAAACATACACAGCACAAACATACACAACCAAACATACACAGCCAAACATACACAGCACAAACATACACAAACATACACAGCCAAACATACACAGCCAAACATACACAGCACAAACATACACAGCCAAACATACACAGCACAAACATACACAACCAAACATACACAGCCAAACATACACAACCAACATACACAGCCAAACATACACAGCCAAACATACACAGCACAAACATACACAGCCAAACATACACAGCCAAACATACACAGCCAAACATACACAGCACAAACATACACAGCCAAACATACACAGCACAAACATACACAGCCAAACATACACAGCCAAACATACACAGCACAAACATACACAGCCAAACATACACAACCAAACATACACAGCACAAACATACACAGCCAAACATACACACACAGCCAAACATACACAGCCAAACATACACAGCCAAACATACACAACATACACAGCCAAACATACACAGCACAAACATACACAACCAAACATACACAGCCAAACATACACAGCCAAACATACACAACCCAAACATACACAGCCAAACATACACAACCAAACATACACAACCAAACATACACAACCAAACATACACAACCAAACATACACAACCAAACATACACAACCAAACATACACAACCAAACATACACAACCAAACATACACAACCAAACATACACAGCCAAACATACACAACCAAACATACACAACCAAACATACACAGCCAAACATACACAGCCAAACATACACAGCACAAACATAAAGAACCAACGTTCCAATAAACAAGAAAGGTTTCGACAACTGACACAACTCTAGTTAAACTCTTGTTTCCTAATTGATGTCCGAATTTGCCAATCCAAAATGGTGTATCCAAACTGGTATATCTAAAATGGTGTATCCAAACTGGTTTAACCAAAATAAAGTAGTCAAAGTAGTGTACCCATTTTAGTCAAACACTAGACGAATAAAACACACACACACACACACACACAACACACACACACACACACACACACACACACACACACACACACACACACACACACACACACACACAAGTATTCATGAGTATTTTAATCAAACAAATTCAGTGCAATCCTCTGCTACGAACAAATGAAAGTTATCATTTAAAGAGTAAAGTGTTACTGCAAAACAGATGCTGTGTTCATGAAGAACTTATTCCGAGGAATTTCAGAGTTGTGTGTGTGTGTGTGTGTGTGTGTGTGTGTGTGTGTGTGTGTGTGTGTGTGTGTGTGTGTGTGTGTGTGTGTGTGTGTGTGTGTGGTGGGTCCTGTATAGTGTGCTGGGAGTCGGCTGCTGCAGCTTGGAGGCTCGTGACAGGAAGACTGGTGGGTGTTGAGACCTCTTCGGTCACTGTTCTCCAGCCTTGCTTCAGTGTTCACCTGTGCTAGTCATCAATGTGTTCTTCCTGTGACCGAGAACACACAATATTTTGGTGTTCTACACATTCTAACTCAGTTACAATTTTCCGTGATTGACGCTGACAAAGATTGTCAAACGAAGATCTTTTTCTCCGCTTCCATCATGTATCTTCCTTCCCTCTGTCTTTATCTTAATTCTCCTGCTTCTTATTCTGCTTATTCCTTCCCGCGTTACTTTCTCCTTTCCTCTTATTGCCTCGTCTCATTCTTCTTCCTTCTCTCTCCCCTTAAACTTGTTTCTTTTCTGTCTCCCTCACCCTAACCGGCTTCTCCATCCGGCCTCTCCCTACTAACCTTATTGTACCGTCTTGATCCCGACGGGCCAGGTGTTTCTCCTCCCTTCAACTAGCTCTTGCCTCATTTATTATTAAGGAATATTAGGATGGCACAAATGAACACATCACACTAATACAATTCGGCTCCTTTCCAGGATGAGTTTGTGAGCCGGTTGGTCAGGAGATTGGTGTGGCCGCTGGAGCTCCATGATGTGGCCGCTGGAGCTCCATGATGTGGCCGCTGGGGCTCTATGGTGTGGCTGCTGGGGCTCTATGGTGTGGCCCCTGGGGCTCTATGGTGCGGCTGGTGGGGTTCCATGGAAGGCTCCTCAAACACCACAGCATAAACAGATATCTTTTTCTCTCCCACAGCCTGGATGCTGGGCTGGATCATGTGTAAGTTGGTGGCTTACGTTCAGGCTGTGTCTGTGTCGGCCTCTGTCAACTCCCTGGTGGCTGTCTCACTCGACAGGTATGATATATATATATATATATATATATATATATATATATATATATATATATATATATATATATATATATATATATATATATATATATATAATAAAAATTTTCTTTAAATATTTTTCAGGGACAATAGCAAAAAATTTATTCCCTCAATATTTTTAAAATGGCCAGATGTAGACATTTTTTAAAATAAAGGCCCCCTCGTGTGAGCTTTAACAGACAGCCTCGTGAAGGGAGGAAGATATGTGCGTTATTCTCTGAGTTTTACACCAGCCAAAATGAAAAAGTAGAGAGGAAGGGTGACATATTGCATACCTTGGTGGAATGTGATGCGTCACTCGACATCAGACATGCTGAATGATGTCTCTTGTTCATGGGAATGTATGTACATCATGTGCCTGTGTACAGGTGTACATCACGTGCCTGTGTACAGCTGTATATTTCGTGTATATCTACAGCTATGGAAAAACACTTGTCAGGAATACAACAGCATCTTTCTGTGTATGTATGGAAATATAGTGCCAAGAAGAATACACTCAGTGTATATTCAGGAGTGTATAGTGCCAGGAAGATGGCACCATCTACCACTGTATGTATGGTGGCACGAAAACCACACTTTTTTAATTAAAAAAAAAACTTCATTAGTGTGGAAACCTCTAGAGCATTACCACGGCCTCACTCACATAGAGAGGACCTCTTTTGTTCGGTAGTAAATTACATTTTCCTCTATCTACTAACTTTTTACTGTAACTTCTGACTGCTTCCTGTATCCAGGAATATTTTGATGTATCTAGTGACAGCTTCATGTATCTATTATTGCTTAGCTGTATCTAGTTCCCTTCTGCTGTATCGAGTAATTTTTTCTGGCACCAAGTTACATTTTTCTGTAACTGTTCTCAGGTATCATTATTAGTTTTATTTTGTTGTATCAAACGGCATTTTGTATTATAAAAGGACGTAGTACGTTATAGCGAAATTAAATTCTATGCAAACCATATTTATTAGTAGCATGATTACTGTCACAATATTGAACTATTCTGGTGTGATGAAAGTGTGATACCGACCACCGGTACTATCACCGGGATGGTGGAACCCGGTAAACTTCCACCTCAGATAGTAACTACGACAGAATAAACATGAATACCCCAGTCGAATACAGTCTGGGTTGTCGTAATAGATTACACAACGACTGACAATCGATTGAAGCTCTTCAGTAAGACAAGACATTAGATTGTCAGTTTTTTCTGCCGTTACCACTGACAAGAGTATCGGATAGGATAGCTGCTTTCAGCCTTGATAACAAACGATTAAAGGTGACTATAGAAATTACGAACGCGGGTCGTAACAAGACCCATAGTAACTCGTTAACTCAGGTCGTACCAAGACCTCTGAAACCCCCAGTGAAGCAATATTTTCCTTTACAACAGAGAGCCCCGTGTCAGTTTTAGCTCAGAGGGTCGTGGGTGGGGGCAAACACATTCACCTTGGGCCGTGTGTTCCGCTACAGGTTCCTGGCCATATGGTTCCCGCTGAAGCTGCAGATCACCACGGAGCGAGCCAGGGCCCTCATCGTGGTCATCTGGATCATGGCCGTGGGCTCGGCTATCCCTTACTACGTCTACTTCGAGACTCAGATCTTCGACCCAGACGTTCCCGATCTCATCGTCTGCGTTGAGGTAGGTACCCCTTACCTTAGACTGTACGTTGAGGTAGGGACCCCTTACCTTAGTCTGTCCGTTGAGGTAGGTACCCCTTACCTCAGACTGTACGTTGTGGTAGGAACCCCTTACCTTAGTCTGTACGTTGAGGTAGGAACCCCTTACCTCAGTCTGTAGGTTGAGGTAGGAACCCCTTACCTCAGTCTGTCCGTTGAGGTAGGTACCCCTTACCTCAGACTGTACGTTGTGGTAGGAACCCCTTACCTCAGTCTGTACGTTGAGGTAGGAACCCCTTACCTCAGCCTCTACGTAGGAGTCCTTCCAGCATGATCATATTCTCACCATCAACGGTGAAATAGATGTTTCTATCACTGTTACAATTATTGTACCGTTACACTGCTAAAACATGTGTACCTGTGTACCCTCTATGTACCTCTGTGTACCCCGCCAGTGTACCAACATGTGTTCCAGGCATCATCTGTATTAAAGTAAACCTCTAGTATACACATGTTCCTGGCCTTATGTTCTGAAGTGAAGTATTTGTTCTTTGCTAACAAACAATTACATGGTTATCCTTGTTAAAGACGAGATGGTAATGATATCATCAGATATCTCACTGACAGAGCTTCGAGTCCAACCTCAATACACCCACCAGTCATGTTTTGGGAGTGTAGGTATAAGTTAGTTATAAATAGTAGTTATAACTTATATAATTATAAGTTGGTTATAAGTTTTAGTTCTATAGT